CTTTTCCATGAAGGAATTTTCCCTCATATCCAACCTGACCCTCCCCTGGCACAGCTTCAGGCCGTTCCCTCTCCTCCTGTCCCTTGTTCCCTGGGAGCAGAGCCCGACCCCCCCCCGGCTCCCCCCTCCTGTCAGGGGGTTGCAGAGCCAGAAGGTCCCCCCTGAGCCTCCTTTTCTCCAGGCTGAGCCCCCCCAGCACCCTCAGCCCCTCCTGCTGCTCCAGACCCTTCCCCAGCTCCGTTCCCTTCCCTGGATACACTCCAGCCCCTCATGGATTCCTGATCATTTCCTTGGAAATCTCTCTCATGAGAATCCTGAGGGCTGAAATCTTCCCTCTAGGGAGGGGCTCCTCAGTGCCAGCCTGGAAAGAAGCAGGGAATAGATGTGGCCTTGGAGAACTTTCCCCATCCTGGCTTTCCAGGCCCGAACTACCAGCTCAGATTTTGTCTATTTTTAGTTTTTTTAACTGCAAAAGTCTTGTATGACTAGAAATGCTCCCACACCTGGGCTGAGGGACTACACTGGGATAAGTTTGTCCCTCATGAGACCCCACAGAGAGATGCTGAAGAAATTAGGAGTCATATCCAAGGGATGAGGAGCAGGAGAGTGAGCTCAGGCGGTGTCAGGATGAGATGTGGGTGAGGAAGAGACCCAGGACTGTTCTAAGTGCAGGTTCCCTGCTTGAGGAATTAGATCCAAAAGGAAAAGTGGTGGTGAGGAGAGGAAAAGATGGAGGAATAGGAATTGTTGGTGAGAGAGTCCAGGAGCCAGATTCCCAACATCACCCAGAGCAGGGGAAGAGGAGCCAGGCAAGAGGATATGTGCTTTACCCAAATGCCAGGGACAACCTGGAGGAATTGCATCTTGAAATTAGGATTTCAGGGGGAAAAAAGAATCATCTCTGCCCAATTCTGCAGCAAAATGAGTTATTTTTGTGATCACTGTGGCCAGAACAACACACGAGGTGGGGATCGATAACTGCCCAAGGGCACCGTGGAGCTCCCAAATCTGGGAATTCCTTAAGGCATCAGGAGGGCTTGGATTTGGTTGTACATTAAATAAATATTATCTGCAGCATTTTTCTCATCTCTGGACTTTTCACAGACTCAGAAAACCTCGCAACAAAGTGAGTTCTGTTGGCTTTTTAAGAGGATGGGCACTTTTTTCCCCAGTGACATTTGGTACATTTGTCATAAATAATAGTTAATATTTGTGTAAGGCCTCAGTGCTGTTGCAGCAGGTGATACATATTCCTAAAAATCAGAGGAGTGTTTGAGTATTTAGTCCCATGGTACTTAGAAACACCTGAAAAACAGACTTTTATAAAAACATAAAACCTTTTTGTAGGAATGTGAAATCCATGGAAGCTTCCTGAAAACTCCTTCAATCCTGGGCTAAATTTTTATAGAATTTTGATCTCTATCTATGAATAAATAAGGTGGGTAATTTTGAAATGATCAAACAGATTGGAATAGTAGGGCATTTTATATAAATATAGACTCAGGAGTGATCCAATGTGAATTATGTTAAACTCAGTGGGAAACCATCTATTAACCTTAGCGAGAATAGGATCAGAATTCCAGAAATTCTGATTCGGGAGTCCTGTGCCAGGGGATTGTTAAAACACCATCCTGATACTTCTATCAATGAATTGGACAATTAGTTGGATTAATTAGTAGCAGCATCACTTTGAAAGAACTACTTGGAGGGAATATTCCTTGCTGGTGAAGGAGGTGGAACATGGGATGTGCTGGGAACTGGGGGGAAATTCCTCCTCCCTGGAAATTTATTTTCAATTTGCTCAGCCCTTCCAGTTCCAGGCAGGATAATTTCTCTTCCACGATTCCAGACCAGTAGAAAATGGATGCAAAGAGTCTGTGCTGGGTGCTGGTCACTGAGAAGAGAGTTTAAAATAATCAAGATTTGCCAGGAGATTTTGTGCCAAGGCTTTTTAAATAAGAAGCAACAGAGTTTGGAGAAGTTTATGTTATTTTCTTTGGGGAGGGTTGAAGTTTAAACAATGGCATAATGTCATGGCTCAAAGCAGACACTTTATTATGTGATGATAAAGTGTCACGAGGCAAAAATATAAACTGTTCGCGTGCTTGGTGCATTAAATGTCCTCTTTCCTGATGAATTTGGGGCTTTGGGATAAGGGATTCAGCTGGAAGTCCAGGTATCCTTTTCTTCTGGTACTGGTTTCTATTTATTCAAGTGTTTGTAGAGTTGTTTACAGGAACGGAAAAAGTTGTGATCCTGGGGTCAACACAACTATGTTTGTGTAAGATAATCTGAAATATGTTTATATAAGATAATCTGAAATATATTTATATGAAATAATCTGAGTCAGGATATAGAAATAAAGGTTTTCTGGTGGGCTGAGGTGGGTCTTGGCTATAAAGAGGTGTCTGAGCACAGTGTGGGAGCAGCTGGAGGAGGGATGGACCCTGGGGTGGGGAGATGATTCTTTCTGTCTCCTCTTCGGGTTATTTTACCAAAAGTCTTCACTTTTTGGGGGGATATTTATATATTATATGATGAGGCTTTGTGTTCATCAGAGAAATCTAGAAAGGGCTGTATTAACATTGTCCTCTCCTCATTCCACTTTTGGAATAGTGATGTCTGTAGAGACAACAACACAGAGAGGTTCCCTGCTGGGGTATCCTGGAAATCCTGGTCCAGTGGAACATTCCCTGCCCATGGAACTGGGACTGGATGGGCTTTAAGACCTCTCCAAACCCAACCCATCCTGGGATTCTATAATAAAGAAATTCACTTATTTAGTACTTTGTAGTAGTAATTTTTTTTTTACTAACCCGTTCTTTTGTACCTCTGGCAACACTTGTGTGGGAAAAACGAGAGAAAACCCAAACTGGTGTCATACAGACCTGAAATTCTTTGTTCATCATCTCAGTTCTCAACAGTTTCCCAGCTCTCTCTGCATTAAATTAAAGGAGAAAAGTTGATTCCATTCCCGTTGTGAGGCAGTGCTGGGACAACAGGTGGGCAAAGGAGCCCAGAGGGAAACACAGCAAGGGGTTAAAGTTTCTAAATTATTCATTAATTCTCAGTTTTAAACCAAAATAAATCAGGATGTGTGATTGTCGAAGAGACCTTCAGTTTGCAGGCTTTAAATCTCGAGTATTAACTTCATCAGGATATGAAGGATACAGAGAATATGTTATTGTTTAATGTGCAAAAAGCAGGCAGGGCCTTCCCATATATATATATATATATATATAAGTATTAGACTTATATATCACACACATCAGGAAGCAAGTTAGTATGTTAGACTTATATATATATATCAATATATTAGACTTGTAATAACATATCACATAATTAAAAATTAAAAATGTGATAGTATTTAAGCCTTATATCTAATTTTTGAATTAATTTATCTGCAAACCCTGCCTGTTTTAATCGTGTTGCTTTCAGCTTTCGTGTTTTCCACTTGGCACCTCGTGTTGTCAGGGGGTCATAATTCACTTTTGAAGCCGTGCTCATCTGGCCAACTTGTTGTCCCACAAAAGCCCAGGAAAAGGCCATATGTTCCTGCAAAGGTAGCCTGGGAAGGCAGGAGAGTCGCTCCTCTTTTCTTGTGCCATCTGTTCTGCTTTAACTTCATTTTCTCCAGACCCCGTGTCTAGCAAATATTGGGATAATAGATGGGAATTCTAATCAGGGAGGAGGCCAGAGCGTTGTTTTCCAACAGCTTTGTGGTGACTTCACTCAAGTATTCCAAACATTCCTCCTGCTCTTTGGCACTGGAACAGTTAAAGTTTAGAACTGGGATCCTAAAGTTTGAATATACAGGCAGATAAATATAAATTCTGTCTAAACAATGAATATCCCGAGGCCCTGCTACGAAAACAGGAGATGGGAAAAGCCTTTCCAGGACTCTGAAATAAAGGAGCAAATCCTTGGATTGCTCCAAGTGGCCTGAGCCAAACTCACTGCTGTGCTTTCCCCTTGCATTTCCTCACTCCTGCCCCCGTGCTGCTCCTTCCCAGCCCAGCCCAGGCATTCCTGCAGCCCCAGGGATTAGGGAACTCATCTGGGTTAAGACTAATCCAGCAGAAATACCCAAATCGGCTCCCTTGGCTGATCCACTTGGGAGCAGCCTTGGAGCAGGGGCCGAGTTGTGTCCTCTGACACAAGGAAGGGGCTCCACCTTGGGGATTTCCTCCTCACATCCCAGGGAAATGAAGGAATGAGGAAAAAAACCTGGTGTCCCCAAAGTGTTCAAGCTTTGAGGAGCCCACAGAGCCCTGGTTTAAGCCAGGCCTAGATTGGTTGAGGTTCCAGCTCTGCTTTGGGGAGACCTGAAAATCCCACAAGCCCTGTAGTTAGTCCAAACTTAATCATGGACAGATATTTCCCCCCACTCTTAATGCTGGTTCTAAGAATAAAATTAAACACAAGGCTCTGCTTGGGCCGAGTTCATGACTCACCATCACATGTTCCAGTCACAGAATTCCTCGTAGCTGTGTTTGTTTTGGGAGAAAATCTACAAGGCATTTCGGGAAAAGAAAGTCTGCAAGTCTATAATCTACTTTCAATTAGGGTTTTATGTTAATTTTTTTAATATTAATTTTATTACTTTTTTATGTTAATTTATGTATATATGTTATGTGTGTGAGTGTATATAAAGAGAGGAAGTGTGGATATAAATCAGATATAAATAAGCAAAACCGGGCATCTTTTGTGCCATTTCAGTTCTCTGAAGTTTTCTTTCTGGTGGCTCATCTCAGGAATATCTCCTTTAAAAGCCCTGTTATCCCTTCTCCAGCTGTGTGGGCTCTGTTCCTACAGCCTTAAATCCTGTACAAATGTAAAGCAGAGGAGGATAAGGCCAGACCTGGACCCTGCCTTGGCCTGTAGGGAATTCTCCTGATCCTGTGTTCATGGCCAATGAAAAAAAGGGATCCTTCCATTGGGAACTTGAGGATGATTTGCCTTTCTGCAGCCCTTTCAGTCCAGGATGTGTTTCCTTGCAGGAAGAAGAGGCTTTATCGCAACAAAACGGGCAAAGAAACACAAACACTTGAAGAAACAGCACTTCTCCAACTCTTCCCAAAAATCCAGAGCCCCACCAGATCCTGGTGGATTCCAGCCCCCAGTCTTCCTGCTTGCAGGTAGGTGAGTTGTCTCTTTACCTCTCCTGCTGGTGGCCCAGAGAAGGTGAGGATTCCCCAGCCCTGGAAGTGTCCAAGGCCAGGCTGGAGCAAACTGGGATAGTGGAAGGTTTTTAATGGAAGGACTGGATGGGTTTTAATGTCCCTTCCCACCCACAGCATCCTGGGATTTCTCTCCTTGTCACATATTTAGGTAATAAACACAGTGATTTCAAATTTTATCATGATTTCTTTTATTTTCTTTGATGTGTCACAAGTGTTTGATGGGCTTGTTTATCCCCTGCTACTGTAGTGCCACCCCTAGAAATTAAAGATAATATATTTATTTTTAGTACTATGAAACACTGAATATAATTTTGTGTGAGTTTGACACTTAACAAAACAATTATTGAAAAGAAAAATCAGACTTGGATGCTCCTAACCTGGTCTCCAAGCCTTTTCCAGATATTTCCCAGCTGTGGTTTGGAATTACCTGCTTTGGAGGGGTGTTTTTCATTTATGCCACGGGGTAAATGGGAAAAATAACCTGAGAACCAGCCAATAATCCAGTTGATTGGTTCAGAAGAAATGCATTTCAAACCCCCCTGAAGTGAAGAAGTTGCCATCCCCTCTTTACACTCCTCTGTGACAGCTCACAGTTGAAAACTTGAGTTTGTTTTTCTCACAGTTTTCTGTATTTTTCCTTTTTTTTCTTCAGTATCTTTCCTTTTAGATGCACCAAATAATACCAGAGTTGTAAGAATATTGTATCTGCAGAGATTAGAGGGGCACAGGATTTTTTTAATCTGTTGGCACAGGCTCGTTATGTAAATAGAAAGCTCGCAAAGGGAACCACACAGCAAAAGGCTCTGGAAAAAACAGATGTTTCTTCCCCAAAAATGAGATTCCTGCAGCTTTGGAGGACTCTGGGAAGTTTAATGTTATGGATATGTGTTCAATCAAAAAATAAAAATATTGTAGTCATTAAGTCCATTTTTATATCATCAGCACAGGCAATTTTTGTCATTATTTTATTGTCACTGTGTAATTTTGATAAGGTGAGAAATCAGGTTATTTATGTAAATTAATTTTTATAATGATTCCTGTAGATTTCTTGAGGCCTTTAACAGAAGCTTCTTTCCCTGCTGCTGCTCCAGTCCTTGCTCTGTCCATGTGACCCAGTTTTTTTTTTTAAGCCCTGCTCTGACTAAGGTTTTATTCTTGGGCTGTTTCATCCATCTATTGGAATTGTTTCCAGTAAATTAGTTTTGCAGTGTTTGCTGTGATCAGCATTACAGGCTCCAGGGGAGCCCTTGGTAAAAATGGCTCTTATCAATACCTTTCAATGTGTTGAAACATTAATAAAGAATTTGAGATGAAGATTGTTTTATCCATAGGGAAATTATGACCTAAAATATCTTTTAATGTAAATTCTTTAATAGGGGATTATCCCACCTTTCTATTTGATTTGTTACCATAAAGATAAGCTACATTGTAGCTTATTCTTATTTATCCATAATTATATGAATGGTCATGTTTTGAAATAATTCAATAATATCTATGTGTTAGAATGGTCATGTTTTGAAATCTATTATTATATAATAATACCATGATATGATGATGGTCATATTCTGAACTAATTCAATAATACCTATATAATATATCATAATGGTCATGTTTTGAATTATATTATTATATAATAATGGTCACATTGTGAAATAATTCAGTAATATCCACATGTTATATGATAATATCTCTGGACTGAATGTACATAGTATTCAGTATAAAGAGCAGGTAAACCCTGTGACTTGTGTGCTCACACCCTGTTTGTGTGGCTTACCTGACATTTTTTATTCCTTTTTTTTGTATCAATGGGTTTGCTGTGACAGGAGAAGGTTTTAACAACAACCAAGAGCTTTATTGTGGTGACAAATGGCTTTTGAAGAGGCTCCAAATACGAAAATCAGAACAAATTCATTACATTGTCTGTAGGATTCGAAACCCAGTGATGCTGCAGCTGTTTTAATTGAAGATTTATTTTGTAAAAGCTGTGAAATCCCCAATAATTCTGAATTTGATGCCCAACTGTGCCTGTGCTGATTCCTCAGACTCTCAGGTCCGAGTTTTTAACCCCTTAGTTCTTTGGATGTGCCTTTAACCTGATGAGTTTCACCCCTAAAAGAGTCTAATTAATTGATTTAAAGGGCTGTTGACTCCTCTTGGTGTCAGAAACATTCAAACACATCAATCATAACTCTTTAAAACCCAACCTTTTCATCCTTAGTGGGAGGTTTTTAATGTGGATTAGCACTACCTGAGGTGGCTGAAGACATGACCTTTTTCTTTGCCTACTAAGGATCCATACACTCATTTTTATAGGAATTTCCTCACTCTTCTGGCCAGTGAAACACCATCAAGTAATAAAAAGCATCTTTGTTTCTGCTCAATTCCAATCAGAACCATCCTACCCTTGAAAATCAAATATTCTTACAGTTTATATCAATTAGTTGCACTGGGACTTACAGAGTGACCAAGAAAAGTGAAATAAAGACATGTGGCTTATTTTTTTTAATTGAAACGCTCTAATTATCTCCCCAGATGTAACGTGGGGAGCAGGAATTCCTCAGATGAGGGGTGGGGGAAGCCCAGGAGCCACCTCGATGGACATAGGCCATTGTCGAGAGCACAACAGGAGACTGTCTAAAGCCAAGCTCAAAGTGCACCAAGAGTTTTAAGGAGCCTAAAGATCCCCAAGAGAACCCCAAGCAAGACCATGAGAAGCAATGTAGGTGAGTATTCCAAAATAAATCTCTGCATTTATCCAGCTGGATTTTGATTTTGGTGGTTTTACGCTGCGGCAGCGAAGTTCCAATTAACAATGTTAACAAAAATGAAAGAGAAGAACGGGCAGCTTCAACATGTGATGGTGCTCAGGTAGAGAAGGGAACAATTTAGCAATTTATGCTTTTGTAGAGGATGGACAGTGCACCCATAGGTGGAGTTTTGATAAGAGAATAAAGCAAAAAGATTGAAATGATTGTGTGGAACCAGCATCTGAAGAACAGCATTTGAAAGGTGAGAAAATTCCCAATTTTGTGTCACCGTGGAGTATTAGTCATATTTGGGAGCACCAATCCTGACCTGGATTGTGCTGTAGCAGCAAAGTGGAGCTGCCTTGCCCTGGGATCCAGCCAGAATTCCACGATATCAAATGAAATGCTCTTATTCTTCTTGATTTTTCATCATCAAAATACAAGGTTAGGCCACGTCAACAACCAGCAGATGGGGAGAAAGAAGGTCCCGGGAAGCTCAAAGAACACGGGAAGCAGAGCTATAAATACCAGGCTAATTCCAGAGCTTGGAGATTTCTCCAAAGCTTTTTTAAATCCCTCCAGAAAAGACTGAAGAGATCCCTAATCTGAAGTGCCCCAGTTGAAGGAATGTGTTTTTAATTTTAAATAAAATTATGGCCTCTTACAACGGGCTGTTGGGGCACCTCAGTGAGTCGGGGCAGGGTCTGTGCTGTGTTTGCTGCCTCAAAATAAGGTTTTTAAAACCACATTGGTACGTTTTCATTCTTATCTTATTCATTTCTTCTTCAGAGAAAAAACATAATTTTACCTGCCTGATCACCTTGGAACCAATAAGTACAATATTCCCACAGAATACTGGATGTTCACAACTCGTTTTGAATTTTTTTTTTAGAGAGCTGTCCCTTCCAGCCAACACAGATCAGTCTTCTTTGGGGGAAGTTTATGAAAATAGGGAAGATATTTTGATTTTTTTTATTATTATTATTATTAATTTTTTTTTTTTACTTTTTATTTAGAAATTTTACCAGTGGAACCTGAAATTGAGGCTGCATTTAGAAATATTTACTAAATGTTTTTAATACTGAATATTTTTAACTCTTGAAAGCAAGTATCAGTATCACTCCAAGGAGGGTTTTACTTTCATGTTTTAATTGAATTTGGTGAATCTGTGATGCTGACAGGTCCTAAGACATCTGTCAGTAGAAAACCTGGATTATGAGATAAGGGAATTGCTGAGTGTGTAAGCAAAGGGATTCTTTATCATTATTTATTTATTATTTAAAATAATATTTTAAAATATTTATTAGCAAAATACTATTTAAATATTTATTATCAAAATACTATTTAAAAATGTTTCTCTCTTATTAAAATTTAAAATAAACCAATTTTAATAAAACTGGTGTTAACCAGAAGAAGCCAAAGGAGAGAAAAGCAGGACTGATAAAAGAACAGCTAAAAGGATTGGGTTTGTTTATTTTGTTTATTGTAGGAGAAAAGGGAACATTGTAGGATGAGCAGAAAAAAAGAGATAAGAGGTTTTTATCAAAGCAACGGTGGAGGTTGCTCTGTAAATTTTAAAAAAAAATTAAAAAAAAAGTTAATTTTGCACAAAGGGTAATTTGGGATACATGGGGGAAAAAAAACAGACCAAGTTTTTTTTTTGTTTGCCTCATATCTGACTGGAAATGTAGATGAAAAACTGGGATATTTTTCTTAGGGAACTTTTAAAAACACATAAAAAGGCAGATTTCAGACAATTTCTGTAGTTTTGACCTGTCAACCTAAATTTTGGGATTAACCTTCTCTTGTTTTCCCTGCAAACTTTTCCTGTTCCTGGCAATACCCTTCCGTTGAAAATGAGTAAAATCAGTAAGATGAGTAAAAATGAGTATACTGCAGTAAAAATGAACCAAAGGACCTTTTTTTAATCTTAAATAAAATGCTTTGAAAAAGGCTCCAGTTTGAAATGGGAGTGAAATCCAGGTTGAGCAACATTTCTGGAAGTTTGCCACAGGTTTCCTTGAATTCAGGTGAAGCATAACATAAAAAAATTAACACCTGCAGAACAAAATGAGGCCTGTTTTCCCTCTGTGTGTGTCTGGAATTCTGATTTCCCAGATTTTCCTGCCAGGAATTTACGGCATTTATGGCACCGATGGCTTTGTTTATGTTGGGTTTTTTTTTTTGGGACAGGGTATATCTTTGTTAATGGGTTAATTTCTTTTGATCAAGTGTTAAATAACATTGTGATAAAGAGGTGACTAAGTGGTTCTCTGCCCACATTTTTCCCTAATAACTCCTTTTTGGAGCAGAGACCAGAAAATTCTCACTTATCTGTGTTAGGCCTGAATTCCCAGAGCCATTTTTGGGGCCTACTCAGAGAATAAAGGACTTGGTGGAGCTGTAATCAGGATCTGGCACAATCCAGCCCTTAGATTGGGATGAAAAAGTGCATTTTCAAGGTTCTTATCTTCTTTGGAGCTTTGTTCTTGAACTCTTGGATGTGCTGAACCCTTGAAGGCCCACATGGTTTTAATTTCTGGGTGCCTGTGGGCCTTACTCTCATTTTTCTCTTCCCTGCTTTGATGAGCTGGTGGAATTCTCTTGTGCTTGTCGAGCTTGAATATGATTCACCCTTTTGTTTCCTTCCTTCTGAAGAGAATCAAGCCCTTTTTTGTCTGGTTTAGTGCATTTTCAGCCTATTTCACATGCACTAAAACCGGGTTTTACAGCGGGTCAGGTGAGCTAAGCCGGGACGCAGAGCTGAGCATCCTCCCCAGGTCCCTCCTTGCTCTGCTTTAAACATAAATACGTCGTGTTTGGGTGGCAAAACACATCCAAGGAATAGAGAATAAAATATTCTATCATAAAATCAACTGTTTCATTTCCCAGGAGCCAGACTGGAGCCTTCCCCTTTTATGGGACAGTGAAATCCATCCTTATCGAGGTGTCGGCATGAGCACATCTGATAATTGGCACAGAAAAATTCAGCCCCAAAATACACAGACAAGAACAAAAATTCATCCCCAAAATACACAGACAAGAACATTTGGGCACTTTGCTCTTTTTTTTTTTTTTTTTTTTTAGGCTAAAAACACCTTGGCTTGCTTAAAACTGAATCTCAGAGTGGAGCAGCCAGACACTCGTGAAGCACAAAAATCTGATTTGAAACTAGTGGGGTGTGTACAGTCAGGAATTTTGATCATCTGTGTTGCCAGAATACAGATTAAACTCTAGTAAATCTGATTTTTTTTAAACAGAGAATTTTACATTAGCATTTTCTAAATGTTATATATTTTTTCCCCTGTGTTCGTGATGTTTTAGGAAATTAAATATGTACAAAATACTAAGGGGAAGCAGTTATTTCAAAGGAGAAATAATAATCTAAGAAACGCTAAGTATTTATAAATATTAATAAAAATTAATATTAATAGAATAAATATTTATTAATATTAATTAACAAATAAATTTTATTTAATAATGTAATAATAATAGATAATAATTAATATCTTAACATCGTAAGTGGAATATATTGCTCGCTATTGCTTCTCTTTTAACTGTTTCAACTGATTCCTTTTCAGCTTGGAAAGAACAAGATGAACAGACCCACCTTCAATCTGATGCTTGATGAGGAAAAAGGTCAGGCTTTTTCCAGTTTTATTTGAATCCTGTGCCCTGCTGGCAATTAGTGCATCGAAAAATACTTTATATGGGCATTACTTGTTTCACAGCTCTTAAATAACAAAGCAAACGTGATGTTTTAGTGGCAGAATATTTCGAAATAAATGGTATATTCATGAACCAGCTGACTCAGAGCAGGGGAAGGAGGAGAAGAAGCTGGAGAAGGAAAGGTCATGTATACAAATCTTCATAAATCCATTTAAAAATGATTACACTTATAACTAATAGAGCTGGTGTAGCAAGGAAGGACTATTTGGCATTTAAAAGGATTAAAACACACTTATTTTTTTTAATGTCTTCGAATTTCTGAGTCCTCTTTTAGAAAGTAGAGAAGTGCCTCTTAAATAAAACAAAATAGTGGGGCCAAATTCTCCAAATACATTCAATTAGTAAGTAATTACCCATCATATTATACAGATTTGTAGCACCCCAGGGTTCAGAGGCAGCAAAAAACTCAACTGTTATTCCATTAATGCCAGCAAAAGCTGTGGGTTTTGCACTGAGGTGTCTGAAGAGCTGGTTTTTTATTGATACCATATTTTTTTTAATACCTTAAGTGGATTTTCATTAGGGAAATTGCTGAGCAGAGCTACGTAATTCAGTAAACAGTGTGAAAAAAATAGCAATTGGGGAGAAAAAAAAAAAATTTCCCTGTGTCTAAAAATAGCCCAGTCATGTGATTGTTACTTTGGCACAAAAGCATAATTTATGGGTTTAATTTGCAGTCCTGCCACAGTTCTGACATTCCCCTGCACAGAAACTGGGGCTGAATTATTCCAATTATTCCAATTCCTGCTCTGCCCTGACCGTCAGGTGTCTCCCACAAAGGAGGGTTATTTGGTTTATTGTGATCTCTGCTTTTAAGATGTGGCAGGATGGGTTTCATTTTTCCCCTTTCTTGCTTGATTTTTGATCTCCCAGTGCACAGTTAATGGAGGTCTGGGATTATTCCCATAACTCTGCCTGGAGCCTTTCACCAGATTTCCAGGAATCCGGTTTTATTCCTGGTTTTCAGTCACTCCTCTAAAATCTGGTTGAACTTTCAGGTCGAGATTGCGAAAGTTACGTTTAAATACGGTTTTCTTTTAAAAGAAAATCTTTATTTTCAGGAATTTCCATTTCCCCAGTAACCTCTGAGTCAATAATGTCCAGCAAAACTGAACAATTACAAATAGTTTTACCTCTTTATTTCCTGCATCTATTTATTAGATACTTTAGGAACACTCTGTATCAAACATCCCTGAAATTCATATAATCTTCATTATAAAAGCATTGTAGGACTGTGTTTAATAATATCAGATTCCAGGTTGCTGAGGAGGGGCACCAAGTTCCTCTTTCCTTCTACAATTTCCCCTGAAATAAAGTTGATTTAATAGCATTTCTTCACTTCTTATTGACATCTAGCCCAGTAATATTCTATATAATAATATTCCCTAAGAAAGGTGTTGCTAATGGTGACATCACTCTCAGTTTATTTCTCTTACATACCAAATATTAGTCTTAATTTTTAATAAATCTGGGGGCTGTCACTGTGTTGACACAAAGTAGGTCTGTCTCATGTTTTTGACCTATTTCCCTTTGTAAAGAATAAAATTAATGTGGTGGAAGGGCTGGAAAAGCATCCTAACTCCTGTGTATTCTTCCATTTAATAAATTCTTACTGAAGAGCCAGGGCTGAGGGTTAAAAAGAAAATCCTTTTGTTTCCTGCCTTTTTTTTTTTTATTATTATTGATATAGGGCTTTTTCTTTTTGTTGTGAAAACCCTTTCAGAGAGTCCCTGTGTGTTTTGTGCATGTGGAATGTCTCAAAAGGGTGGATTTAATCCATTCTTTCACTGGAAGTGACAACATCAGTTGCTCCCAACTCTGGGAATTACACAGAAAAGTGTGTTAAAAGTCATGTTTAGAGAAAGTTTTGGGTTAAAAGTTATAGTTGGAGAAAATTTCAGGGTTTGGTGCTAAACATACAGGAAATAAAGTCCTAGAAAAATCCTATTCCTTCCCAGTTCCATTGGACAACTGTCATGGCACAGTTAAATCTCCTAAATTAAGGATACTTTGCAGCTCAGTGAACTCTGATTTTTCCCTGGACATTGATAGGAAGGATATCAGATGTATTTCTGATTAATTAACAGCAGAATTAATCAGGAATACGATGATCCACAATGCTCCAAGAGAAGGGATTTATATTATATATCAGTGTAATATAATGTATCAGCTGGATTCCATGGACATAAATCAGTGTTTCTCCATGGAAATCTTTTCCTTATTGTTTTAATGGTGTAGATTCCTGAATGGTAGGTCTGAAGGAACTGCTTTGCCATCTAATCTTGGATATTTGGGAATTTAAATGCCAGAAAGTTCTGTCCATCCTGGTCCAGGTGAGCCAGGCTGGGAGCTGGGGCGTGTCCACTGGGATACTGGGAAAACTCCTGGGCTGTGGATGTAGAGACGGGCACAGTGGCCTGGAATCTTGATGGGGTTTTGCCATTTATGAATGAATTATCCAAACTGCTCCCATGGGATCTTCCAGGTTGGAAAAGACCTCCCAGATCATCAACTCCAACCTGTGATCAAACACCACTTGGTCAACTCACCCAGAGCACTGAGCCACATCCAGAGGGTCTTGAGCAATTCCAGGGAATCATTTC